GCATGGCCGGACGCACTCTTAGTGAAAGTTTTCCTCCATTAGTGGAAAAGGAAGGGCGCCTTTTGCGTCTGGATATACTTAGCAACAGAAGGGCGCCCTGTACGTTGGGCACGAAGTATAGAAAACTTGCATGGTTAAAAAGAAGGGCGCCGCCTACGTTGGGCACGATTTTCGCCTCATTTTTACAATGCGAGTGCTCTATCTTGTATTTCTAGTATCTTTGATGAGATGGTGTAGCCGCATAGCTTATATATGGAAGGGTGTACCAGCTTAGGTAAAGTTTGGAAGGGTGTAAGAACTTGCCAAGCTTATGTTGTAAAGTGTGTAATACCTTAGCTTATTTAGTAGGGAAAGGTTCAAGAGCTTTGCTCATGTAGGGAGGGGTGTAGAAGATTAGCTCATTTGGGAATGGTGTACTGTATTATAGGAGCCTAGCTCGTGTAGGGTATGGTGTAACAACGGTGGAATGTTGTAGGAACTTAGCTCCTGTTCAGAGTGGATCAAGAAATCTATGAATAAGATTATTTATTTTATTTGTTTATTTTTTTTATACTGTACCTTATTTATAGAAGAGAAGTTGATTTTTGCAGTATATCTAGAAGGTCAGCTGATATTCAGGGGTGGATGGCTAGATGGCTTTATTTAGTGTAAACACCAAAGCTAACCCACTTAAGTCTGAAGAAGACATATTTTTTGTGGGGTCCTGGTGGTAGTTAAACAGTACACCAAGAGACAATCCCCTCTTTTTTTTCCTCAAAGAGTGTACTGCATTCCTTGGCCATGATGCACATAGGACCAACTTCTTAAACATCTCATCAGAAAGATGGTGCTCTATCGTAACTTGCATTTCAGCCCTGCAGCTGAAACACAAGTTGAGCAGTGATGGGAATTGAACCGGGGACCTGGAGATCTCCAGAGTTCAGCACACACACAGTGGCTACCAAAAGTTTAGCTGACTTTAGCTAGCTGCTATATTAAGTATCTATTGTTTCTTATTTCAGCAATCTGTGAAAAGAGCAGCTAATGTCTTGCTGAAGCAAATTGATAATGATGGAAACGGTTTCATTACCGAAGACCAGTTCGCTTCCTGGGTCACGACTCTCCCTCACGACACCTTAGCTGCCATTCTTAACTTCACCACCAGTCAGCAAACTGATAAGGATGGCATGTCAGCATCCAGCACACCTGTAAAGGTAAAGTGTTACTGTACACCTGTTGAACAATCTGTGTCAAAAATTTTATGTATCTGTAAATCAAGCAATCAATCAATCAATCAGTATATCAGTCAATCAATTTGTGGAGCAGATAACAAAGTACATTTTCTTACTGCAGTGAAAGCAAGTTGCTTGTTTTTTGTTGAATCCATCTCAGAAATTTTAATTGTTCATGGAACACTGAACATGCACATGATAAAGCCAGACTTTTTTTATACCATGTTTCGTGAATCCACCGCCCGCCAATAGGCCTATTGATGATTTCAGATAAAAAAAAAAAAGGACAGAAAATCATCAACAGAACTGCCCAGCAGTTTCAACCTACTAACTATAAGTGATGCTATACAACACGGCCGTCTGAGATGGTATGGGCAAGTTGAAAGAATGAATGACAATAACTGGGTCAAGAATTGTAGGGTGATGGAAGTTGAGGGGGTCCAAAGGTAGTGGAAGGCCTAGAAAGACCTTGGAGCAAGTGGTGGCCAGTGATCTCCGTAAGCTAAGGATAAGCCGTGCAACTGCACAAAATAAAATTGACTGGAGGAAAGCTATCATGGTGAACAGTCCAACCCATGCTAACATGGATTAATTACAGACTTTAAATTGATTAATATAATATAATATATAATCAGCACACACCAGCCGCCGTGAAAAACTGGAAATTTCTGTTTCTTTTATCTTTATTACACTCATGTTGCTTTGAAATCTCCAAAAATAAGACATGTATATTTCTTCGTAATTATATAAATTTAAAGCATTTAACCGTCCCATTACTACACTGTTTACATTCAACAATGAAAGTTTATTTTTATTTTCTCCTCCGTCTGAATGTTTTTTGGCAAAACCATTTGCTAAATAAGAAAACTAAATTTTATTTTTCTTTTTTTCCACCCTCTGACGATCTTTAAAAAAATAAGTTTGCGAAACAAAGTATAAAAAAGTTTTGCCTAATATGTTAGAGATGCAGATTATTGATATTTTCCCCTGACTATGCAATTGTGGTGTTCCATTAAATAATTGTCATACCATGCCATTGAAAGGAACCTATCTAAGGAACTGCTGTCCTGATTTATTTACTTTCCAATGTTTGGAGGTATGCATGAAATACATATATTCATTAACCAGTGGCAGAACTACTGTATGGGGGGAAAAGGAGAGAGAATTTGTGCCACCTAGATAATTTTCTTCCCTTCCCCCCCCCCCCCCCCCCCACCTAGTTGCTGGAAAAATGAATATTGTAAGATTGGCCAACAAAATTAATTGCTCAGATTGGTCTGTTTGTCATTTCAAGGCCACTGGCCACTTAAAAACAATGCATTGAACAAACTGTTTACATTTGTAATAAATTACTGAGCATTTGAATAGAAATAACAAGCACATTAGAAGCATTAACCGTTAATGTTGTGATTCTATAAGTTAATAATATGTATATAATATATTTCCAGTTTGATATGGGAAAACAGATTGCTCCCTTCTAAAATTTTACCTTG